TGCTAATGGAAGAGGACTGGGAGGCTGTAATGCCTGTGTCACTACATAAACACTCAGTGGCACTTTGATGGTGCTCCTTTATTGCAGATTGCATTCATAAACAACAGGGGGAAAAAAAAGCTGAACAATCTGCACCCTCGCTCTGCTTATGTGTGTGTGTGATTCAGAACTCCTGTGGAAAAACTGTGTGTGATATATAGATCAAAATGAAATCTCATTCCTCTCTGTGTGTGACAGTCGAATCATAAGGCCATGAGAAACATTAGGATGCTGTGTGTTGTGCTGGCAGCCCCACTGACCCTAATTTATAATGACTCCATTGTCTTGGGGAACACAGACGTATATCAGGCATAAATGAAGTAGGACAGGCACTTTAGCTGGGGAGATGAGGTGATTATAGCTCATGGATTAGTCTGCCTGGGTGAGGTGGATCATCAGCCCCGGGGTGTGCGCACACACATACACACATGCATGCACATGCACAAAAGTAGAATATGCTCAAACACGCACACACACAAATCACTTGACCAGCCGGTTTGCGTATGCACACTGATGAGTTTGCAAGACGCACACAAGCATGCACACTTGTGCACACACAATGACCTCACAAGAAAGCCAAACCAAACACAGCGTACGGTGGATTTACTGTAAACAAAGCCAACGGGAACATGAGCACAGCGTTGCCGAGTTCGGGTTCAGCTTGCTCCCCAGCCTTCTTAGGATGTGTGGTGCACAGCAGGTGTGTGTCACGGTCGTTTCACGAGATTTTTTTCCCATGACTTTATGTATTTGCATGTGGTTCTTTGCCAGTTACAGGAACAGAGAGCTGTTTCATAATGGCAGTACAAGTGTAGTCAGACTTATTTCAGTAATCCAGGAAGTTTTGTTTGATTGAGGTGGTTTAAAAAGTTTGACCTTAGATAGAATTAAAGAATATTCCTTAGAAAAACAAATCATGGTAAATGGCCTGTATTTGTATAGCGCTTTTCTTGTCCCTAAGGACCACAAATCACTTTATACAACCAGTCATCCACCCATTCGTGATGGCAAGCTACATTGTAGCCACAGCCACTCTGGGGCGCACTGACAGAGGCGAGGCTGCCGGACACTGGTGCCACCGGGCCCTCTGACCACCACCAGTAGGTAACAGGTGAAGTGTCTTGCCCAAGGACACAACAAGCGAGGCTGTCCAAGCCGGGGCTCGAACCAGCAACCTTCCGATTACAAGGCGAACTCCAACTCTTGAGCCACGATCGCCCTAATCCAGTCATGTCCTTAACTGGATTAAGATTGTCCAGTGTTACAGCCAATCCAGGCTGGAACACTGTTTTCTCTGGAGTTACTCCTTGGAAAACTCTTCTTTACTGCTGTGCTGTGAACATGAACCTTCTTTATACCAAAAACTTTGTGGTTGAAAAGAAACCTGTTGCTGAAGTGCACTTCCTCCCATGTCCACTTGAGGCTCTTTTCAAAACTGAGTTAATTCCCACAGACTACCATGTTAAAATTACTTTACAGCAGAAATAAACACCATTACTGACTTTTACCCAAATAGTTTTGATCTCTTTATCTAATTTTCCCATTTGCAATAGCTGGGGTTGCTGCACACTTAATAGGCTAATTCAGGTCACTAGCTTGACACTTCCACTGGTATTTGAAGCCTTTTTAATTATTTATCTGACACACTGTTTATAAGGTTGGGGAAACCTGCAGTCAGCAGAGACTGAAGAAGTCACTTGGTGACGGGTGACAAAACGTTTCTCCCACAGAAAACGCTACGTCCAGATGAACAGAATCAACCTTTTGGAATTTACTTACCTGGATGATTGAGTATGCATCAAGACATATTTAACTGACAGATAATACAGGTTAGGATCATCCAAGAAGTTTGGATTCCATTGTTTTGGTGAGTGAAATTCAAGTTAGTTGTAGGTAATGCAGCCATATGGGTTCAACTTGCTTATCAACTTAGTTATAACTAGACCATATCTTAGAGCTCTGAAACACAAAAATGATAATAAAAAAAAATGACAAAAATGAAGTCAACTGAAAAAGAGTTTTCACCGGACTCTCTGCAGTCCTGTGAAGAACTAAGTCCAGCCTTACCGCTTCCATAGGAATTAAGAAGGTAAATAGCAGCCAGGTTCTGATAATCAAATGAAGCTGATTGAGTGAAAATCCGGAACCTGACAAAACTTCTTTAAAAGCAGGAGTTTTGGGGTGTTGCTGTTGTGGGAATGTGGTAACACAATGCATATATGGTTTTTCCATATTCACCCTGAATTGTTCAGAGAAACTTCAGAAAACCTAAGTGGTGTTTCTACAAGATCTTGAGTCATGGGCTGTACTTACTTAGAGTCAAACTTTCTCTTTTACATGACTGTAGTAGCCCACAAAACAATAGAAGATTGAATGGTACTTACATCAATCTTTTCTATAGTCTGTGGTTTATACTTACTGTTTGTAAGAACATACTGTGGAGCACCCAGGTGTCAGGTTCAGTGCAGAACAGCATTTTCTTTCATGCTGGAAGATACTGATGACAGGAGCTCTATAAGTGAAGATGTTCCCAAAGCTAGCGATGAGGATGAAATGGTTTATTTGCCATTTCTCAGAAAATTGATGAACGCCCACCCACCCAGCATCAAATGAGACAGATACCAGCTAACATCTGAACATGCAACAGGCACTCTTGAAGAACACTGCACATAAAAGACTCAGTGGATAAAAACATATTGAAGCCATCTTTCTCTGAGGCAGCTCAGTGAACCACTTAACCACTCAGCTGCGGAGTCCCACTCAGAAAAACATTTGATTTGATTTACTGTATAGGGCATTTGATGTGATAATTCGATGTGATATCTACCCTATGCCCTTTCACTTTCACATCATTTCAAGCTGCTCTCACCCCAAAGCTTGCTTCCTGGTAAAATAAGAAAAGAGTGGGGGTGGTGGGAATCTCATCATGTGGAGGGGAAAAAAGTATTTTCTTCTCATCCATTTAACTGTTGCTTTTATTGAAGCAATTTCACATCGTGCTCTGAGTAGTTTTTAAAAACTAAGCTAAACTTTGAAGGAGGCGAGATGGAGTTCAGCCGGCCTTTTTCAGCTGGAATAAATCAAGCTGTTAGTGAACAGAAGCCACGGTGTGAAGAGCGACTGTTTAGTGTCTTAGTGCAGTTTACAATCCTCTTGCTGAGCCCAGTGGCACTCAGACGAGCTTCCTCGGTGGTACTGTTGTTATAAGGAGGATTAGTTCAACCACCAGGCTGAGCTCTGTCTGCGTTTGCCTCGCTGCGGCAAGAAAATCTCACCTGATGACATTTATGTAGCCTAAACACCCCGAAACACACAATTTACTTTAATTAGTTAATATAATCTCGTCTCTCATGAGCACAGTGTTGCAATCTTCCTTAAAAAAAACCTGACCCTCCGTGGATCCTCGTGATCTGTGGAGCTTTTCCTGTGACCACCACTACGTGGCGCACTGAGTCATAAACTCAAACCAGCACACTCGGCAGGGTGCACATGCACAGCACTGGAAGCTATGAAACAAAGGTCTTATAATGCCTGTGTGTGGCCATGGAAAAAAATGAAAGAGAATAAAAAATAAACCCGGTTTCCATTTGTTCAGACAATAAAATATGTGGCTATTTAGAGCAGAATGGAAATGTTGTTTTTTCTCTCCAAGAAAACAAGTGAAAACTCTGCCAGCAGAGCGCTTGAGATCGTTTTACAGGTTTCAGAATGGCAGCTTCCCAAGTGAAAACAGTGCTTTTAGGGGAAAAAACAGAAAATGAAATTAAAAAAGCTTGTTTTCAGGCCACCAGAAGAGCTCTTTATTGACATAATTATGTCAGTAAATCCATTAAACGACTGTTTGAAACGCAATCTGCACGCTGATGTCACATTTGAATAAAACTTTTCAAGTAGAAAATGAAACTTGGACACTGGGAGAATGGCTGCTTAGTGAAAATGAAGCTGAACCAGTGAAAGTGGCTGAGGTCTGTCTGCGGGCCTGTGGGAAGCCCGCACACACCAGCCATCCCCATCAATACCTCCCCCAAACCCTCTCACCCCCTCGAGTAGGAGAAGAGGTGTTGTTTTTGTAAGCGAAACGCACGTCGTTCAAAAATCCAAAGCCGATGGGAGCGCGCGCACCCGTGAAACTGTACACTGCAAGAAATATCTGCAACAACAAACACCGCTGCAGCGGCTCGGCTCCAAAACCCCACCGTGAAGAACTTGATTATGACTCCCACCTCCCCCGTGCACGAGCACGGGACGAATAATATGGTGAATTTGTGAGGTTGGATCATTTTTTCATTCAAAAAACGATCTCTTCGGGGGTAAATTGTTTATTTAAAAGTGGGAACAAAGCAAAAACAGCCGATGAATCCAGGTTTTATTTGACTTATTTTTCTGGGAAAAGAGAATCAAGAAGACTGAACAGTCCGAGCTCTAGCCTCTCAACTGTCAAGATTTTTTTCCAGTGTTCCCCGGCTGGCCCAGTAGGAGAGAGAGAGAGAGAGAGAGAG